GAGAGGAGGTAGTATGTGAGGAGGACAGACTTCATGACCTAGCAAGAACTAAGAGACGGAGGAACAAAGGGGACATTATTCAACTTGCTTCAGAACATGAGAATACAAGACTAAGTCAGAAAAGGAAGATCATGTTAGAGAGTCTTAGTATTTTAACTAAAAACCCAAGGTTAAAAACACTATGAAGTTTGTTGTCTTTCACATTTCCTTTCTCTTACTTTATTTCTCCTTTACTTTCATTCTCAATTAGGCTCAAAGCATTTAAGGAATACATGCCACAATGGTAAACTGTTCAACAGCCTGAGAATGTGAAATTAGCCCTGCTCTAATCACTGTTTTCCCTTGCAAAAGTTACCTTACCTATCATTCTTCTCTAGCATTCCTAGCTAGCAAGTGAACAAATAATATAATGTGCCAAATCTCGAATTTCTAATCCTGACTTTAACTCCAGGGGTGAAGCAGGAAGGATGATGGCTAAGTTCTCTTAGGGACAGAAAAGTTCCTCCTATGAGTATGGTCTCACAAAGTTTAGACAAATTGCATATGGAGAAGAAATGAAGGGTATATGCAGAGTGTGTAATACTTGCCAAACATACCACCAAGTATTTCACTACATGTACTATGTATTTAATCCTAACTCCAAGTAGATAAACTAGGTCCTATTTCTGTGCCCATTTTATAGATGAGGAAACTGAGGCTCAGAAAGCTTAAGCAACTTGTAAGAAAACTAGAAAGTGACAGAGTCAAGACTTGAACCTTGAACAAGACTGACTCTTGAGTCCAAGAGCTCTACACCATTATACCCATTTCTACCCACTGCTCTCTCCATACTTTTCCAAATTCTTACCAATTTCTACCAACCACCCTCTCTTCTTCACACGCTGCTGCTTCCATCTGAAAAAATTCCTTTACTCGAATATGAGAGGCAACATAGTAAAGAGGGGAAGGAATGAAAAGGGAGCTGGTTCTAAGTACTGAAAACAGCAGGAGAGCTGATTCCCACCCAGTGGTAGGAAGGGCATAGGGGCCAAACAGTGGAATGCATCACCTTGCAGGCATCTTGGATTCTTCCACCAAGAAAGTTATTCTACATGTTAAAAATATATGCAAAGAAGAACTTCACACATGCTTAATATTACAACATTAACACAAAATATGAAAAATACCAAACACAGGTAACTCTTCTAATGCTTTCCTAACAAAGCTAATTAGTTAAATGCTAATATTCTAATTAACAGAAAAGAATTATGCAAAAATTATCTAAAAATAGAAAACAGATCTAGTTTATTTTTTAATGTTTCATTGTGAATTTAACAGTGGGCACTGTGGTTGTAAACCATCTCAATTTTTGCTTGTTTGCTTTTCATGCCAGAGCCCTCTCACTTCTAACAACATGTGTATTCTCACAGAGAAAATTTAGGAACACTGAAAGACCAGAATATAGATTTCTTTTTTTGTGAGGAAGATCAGCCCTGAGCTAACATCCCTGCTAATCCTCCTCTTTTAGCTGAGGAAGACCGGCTCCGAGCCAACATCTGTTGCCAATCCTCCTCCTTTCTTTTTTTCCCCAAAGCCACCCAGTAGACAGTTGTGCGCCACAGTTGCACATCCTTCCAGTTGCTGTACGTGGGACGCAGCCTCAGCATGGCCGGAGAAGCGGTGCGTCAGTGCGCGCCCAGGATCCGAACTCTGGCCGCCAGTAGCGGAGCGCACTTCACCACTAAGCCACAGGGCCGACCCCCAGACTACAGATTTCTGAGGCAAGAGGACAATATGAACTAAGAGGCTTTAGAAATCTCCTGTTTATACCAGGGAGCTATCTATAATTCATCATCTAGCAAAAAATGTAATCACAAATGAAGTATGTGACAGTGATATTAAGCATTATTTAAAAATTCCCCAAATAAATGCTATATGTCTTTTTTTTTAATGTTTGTTTGTTTGTTTATTTATTTAGTGAGGAAGATCAGAGCTGAGCTAACATCCATGCCAATCCTCCTCTTTTTCCTGAGGAAGACCGGCCCTGAGCTAACATCTATTGCCAATCTTCCTCCTTTTTTTCCCCCTTTTTCTCCCCAAAGCCCCAGTAGATAGTTGTATGTCATTGTTGCACATCCTTCTAGTTGCTGTATGTGGGATGCAGCCTCAGCGTGGCCGGAGAAGCAGTGCCTCAGTGCGCGCTTGAGATCCAAACCCGGGCCGCCAGCAGCGGAGCACGTGCACTTAACCGCTAAGCCACAGGGCCGGCCCTATATAACATTTCTTAAATGAGGCAGATCTATATTGCTGATATAGAAAGATGTCTAAGACACGATGCTAAGAAAAAAACAAAAAACGATGCAGGTGCAATTTTGTATACTGACACAAAGTTCTAAAATTATCGCAATGAAAGTTGGACTTTCACTTTCTTTACTGAATTAATTTTTTAAACCATTTGTTTCACTTTTTAAATAATTTCTTCTTACAAAGTCTTTCCTAAATTAAGAATTAGGAGATCTCTCTCCACATGTGACAGACTGGAAACAAAATATTTTGGGAGAATATCTAAGACTGGTGATTTATAGATCCCAACAGCTATATAACAGAGATGGGTCTTTTTATCTTCTTGTAAATATGGATAATGATGAGCATCCAGTTAATAAAACACTGCACTTAGTATTACATACTTTAGTAGCAACTGTCCAGTTTTCTCTAATATCTATTCTTCCCATTTTACATAGTAACACATTTTAGCTGAGCGCATGAGTTCCCAAACTCTCTTGCTAGTTAGGACCATATTACTAAGGTCTGGCCTAAGGTGTGGGCAGAAGTGATGCCTGCACATTCGAAGCTGTGCCCAAAAAGGGATGATTTCTTACCTCTTTCCTGTTGTCTAGAGGATAAGACAGTGGGAACTGGAGCGGCCATCTTAGACCACCAGAGGAAAGCTACCTATTGAAGATGGAAAAGCAAACAAAATGTAGAGTCCCTGATAAATACGGACCCACCATACTGACCAGGGACCACTTTTTGGGCTTTCATGTGCGAGAGAAATAAATGTCTATTATGTTTAAGCCATATTTTGTTTTCTGTTGCTGCAGTCAATACCACACTGCACGCATGTGTGCATACACACACAAACACACCAGGAAGTTATTCTAATGCAACAATTAAATATCACCTCATTTTATAGCTAAGTTTATTAAATTGATGACTGAAAAATTAACCTACCTGTATTAAATCTCAAAATAGAAAATAGAGAAGCAGAAGAACCTAAGAAATCTTAGTTTCTTCCTTAATCCTCTTGGTTGAACAAGAACAATCCCCTTGCTCTTACTGACTGCTGGCCTTGATTTTTACTTGTGAAACGAGTAAAAGATAAGATTTTTCTTTTTTTGGTGAGGAAGATCAGCCCTGAGCTAACATCCATGCCAATCCTCCTCTTTTTGCTGACGAAGACAGGCCCTGAGCTAACATCTATTGCCAATCCTCCTCGTTTTTTTTCCCCTTTTGCTCCCCAAAGCCCCAGTAGATAGTTGCATGTCATAGTTGCACATCCTTCTAGTTGCTGTATGTGGGATGCCGACTCAGCATGGCCGGAGAAGCGGTGCGTCGCTGCGCACCCGGGATCCGAACCCCGGCCACCAGCATCGGAGCGCGCTCACTTAACCACTAAGCCACGGGGCTGGCACCTAAAAAATAAGATCTAAAATACTGTGAGACTGCTAAAAATAAAATGTACTAAATGACCTAATCTACCTCACAGATTAACCACAATAAAGGAGAAAGTGAATCAGAAGGAATCACTAAACACAATAAACTAAAAAATCATCTTTAAAATTAATATCCCACATCACCATAACGTGAAGCAGCAAGAGAGATAAATTTATACAAAGAAAAAAAGAATCAAGGCCGGGGCCGGCCCCGTGGCTTAGCGGTTAAGTGCGCGTGCCCCGCTACTGGCGGCCTGGGTTCGGATCCTGGGCGCGCACCGAGGCACCGCTTCTCCGGCCATGCTGAGGCCGTGTCCCACATAGAGCAACTAGAAGGACGTGCAACTATGACGTACAACTATCTACTGGGGCTTTGGGGGGGAAATAAAAAAGGAGGAGGATTGGCAATAGATGTTAGCTCAGAGCCGGTCTTCCTCAGCAAAAAGAGGAGGATTGGCATGGATGTTAGCTCAGGGCTGATCTTCCTCACACACACACACACACAAAAAGAATCAAGGCTTACTTCAAGAAGGAGATCTTTGGCAATTTTGATTTAACTTTGCAAGTTATTTTTAGTATATGTTATTGATATGTCTTAACTGATTTCATTGCCTCCTTCTTGAACAAAGTCCTCACACAAATATATTTATAGACAGACTAAAGTTAAGTGATAAAGAAATATAAGGGAGAAAGAAAAAACATAAAAACTCCAATATCAGCTTTCCTTCTACAGAGAATCAATTATTTTTAGGAACTAATGGACTCCTGATTTATGGGTAAAAGTGGAATTTATAGTTCTTCAGAGAATAGATATAAGCCAACAAAGTAATCTAAAAGATATATCATTCTCCTGAAGTGTCTAAATACCTATGTATTTAGTTACTTTTGCAGATATAAAGATAGTAACATTTCCCTTAAAATTTTAAACTTGCCCTTCATAGAGTATATAGTTTCTGCTTCCAGTATCTGATTTATCTTTTCAAAAGCATACATTATTCTTTCAAAGATTCTCACATTCTCTTTTTGCTCAGGCTTTGGGTAAATATATATGTATTAGATGGAAAGAGAGGATGAAAATCTAGAGGTCTAATTATTTTCTACTATAAGAGCTATAATAGATTTTCAATGGATTTTAATAGGATAAAATGTACCAGACTGCTAGACTTTCAGGCCAATCATAATATAACCATGAGTTCATACAAAACATCTAATCCCACAGTCCTAAACTCAGGAGGCTCCTCTCTTGGGAAAGCAAAGCTAAAATCTTAGAAGCACTTAAGTTACTTGAAATTAAAGATTTTTCTACATCATCAGATGTTCCAGAAATGATCCAAGAGCAGCAAAGCATATCAAAAGACTAAGATCCCACAGTGTGGCTTTCTGTTCTTCATGTGTGTTTAAGAGCAGAGGCAAATCAAGGCAGAAGTCACAAGTCACAATGGAAAAAAACATTTCAGAAATTATTTGAAATCTTTGAAATAGATGTTCTTAAAAAATTGTTCTATGAGGAGCCAGCTGGTAGGCAAGGCAAGACAGCAGCTAAGAGAAACATGGAACGTTTCTGCTCCACCTTGTTCTCCATCTTTCTTGTTCTTTTACAGTTGGGAAAAGGGGTAGACCTGAAACCCAAATGAAATAGCAATATGTGAAAAATATACATAATTACATGTGGCCCCCCACCATATCCACTTTAAACCACGAGTTAACTAGTCTTATAAATAATGACAAGCCAAAAGCAATCAAGTATAGAAAGAATTCAGTTCTGCACATAACATTCATATGGTGCTTACAAATGCTTTATGTATATGGATCCCCAAACCCTAATCCACAATTCCAAAATCTAAAAGTGCTGAAAGACTCAAGTTGTATGCACTGTGTGTGCAAACTCACTGGGTGGCAAAACATGACCTTAAATGATGTATAACTATTTATAGTTTTAATTTATCTCACTTAGTGTAACTATTTATGTTTCATTGCAGAAATATTAATGTGCTTGATTACTATGCACTACCTTAGAGCTCACTGGGGGTATTATGTTATCTATGGGTTATGTACTACGATACCTTTTAAAATCTGAAAGATTTTGAAGCACATGTGGTCCCAAGGATTTCCGATAAGGAAGTGTGGACCTGTATCAACTCAATTACCCTTACCACAGCCCTATGCGATAAGGAAACTGAGGGTTAAGGAACCTGTCCAAGGTCAAAAAGCTGCTAAGTGTTCAGCTGAGATTTGACCTCCAGCAGTACAGAGCCTGGACTCTTAGCCATTATGCTAAGCAGCAGCCTTTTCCTTTTACATCGTGCAGATCAATGACGTTTTTGATTTTCTAGTCATAATTACCAAAATTATTAATGCGGGACACTTAAAGAAATTTTTTTTAAACCACAGTTAGGCTTCAAAAAAAGAACAGTAAGTTTGCATTTTAAGGAAACACAGACTTTAGGCAAACTCATTCCAACAGTTTATGAATAAGCAACATCCATGCAGCATACTGCTCCGAATTAGGGTTATGGATCAACCGCAGAGCTTTCAACGGCTCTGTCACAACTGTTCTCAGTACGTATTGAGGAGCCACTGCCAGTGGTGTGGACAAGGGTAGCTAAGCACAATGCTTTTCTCATCGCTTCTACTGTCACAAGTGGATGTTTCAGGGGACATGTTATTAATACCATGGGGGGAAAAAAAGTTCAGTGGGGGCAAAAAGCAATGATTGAGAGTCATGGCACCAGCAGGGAGAGCTAATCGCCAAGTCTTTCTAGAGCCTTTCCCTGGAAGCCCCAGTTCAGTCACTAATATCACCCAAAACACCATCCTCTGGCCTTTCCCTTCTGCCGTCGGAGGAAGTTTAACATAGCCCACACCGCTGTTTCGGCTCTCGGCGCCCTCCCACTACTGGTAACCTACTCGGACGCAGCCGGCGCACTCGGACCCTCTAGCAAGATGGCGGCCGCCAGGGCCGCGCAACCGGAAGTGCGGCTGCGCGCCTAACCCGGCTTCCGGTGGCCAGCTCCACGCAGCAGCAGCAGCAGCAGCAGCAGCAGCAGCAGCCGTCGGTCGAAGGTCGATGGAAGGAAAAAGCAGACAGCGAGATGACGGCCTAAGGAGAACAGGCCCCACCTTTAGCAAAACAGGAAGCATTCCAGGAAGACTGCGGGGGTGGGGGGATATAATTAAAATGGAGAAGGCTGTGACTGGCTGCAAAGGTTTACAGAAACAGGATAAAGCGCCACCAAACCCGCATTCTGGAGCTGCCGGAGTCAGAGAAGGGGTAAGGGAAGAAAACCTTCAAGGGACAGAGGAGTGTTACAAAACAACGGGCAAAGGTGACAAAGCGACTGAGACCCGGAGAGCCAGAGAACGAGAAAATGGAATGTAAAGAATCTAAAATGTTTTATTTCATATTTTGGCTTAATTATGCCTGTGTCACCAGAGGGAACATTTGGCATACTAAAGGTCCAAAAAAGTATTGTTTAAAATTGTTACTCAGTCACTACATGCTCTTAGGCCAAAAATTTCCCATGTTCCTGTATGCAAGTTTACTTGATTCTCCAATATATGTGTCTATAGGAGGCAGATTATAAAGTTATTTCTGAAGAGGATACAAGAATAAACAAATACTATTGATGACAAATAAATCAAACTTACAAAACATTAGACTTTTTCTCTCTAATTTTTGGAGGGTTCATTTTTCAAATTTAACAGCAAGGAAACAGTTTGATACTACCTAGCCTCTGTAACAGAGAAAGGACGGAAATTAGGCATTATGTTGGAAAAAGTGAAACACTGGAGAGAGCTAAAGAGATCCACCACCTTATCCATCTTCCTTGACTGTACAGTCTCTGCAGCACTTCCTTTAATGGGCAAGAAACATCCCAGTGCATTGTCTATGTACACCTGTTATTTGTAAACTCTTATGACATGAATAATGCTTTCCCCACAATCTGTTCTACTGAACTTTACTTTTTTTCTATCAGCATAGTAGTTGTGCCAAGTGTGAGATCTGCAATTTTAGCGACTATAATATTGCGCTTTTTTCTACCTCGGTTAAAAATTTCCATACAGGCTTTGGTGAAAATCAGGAAGAAAAAATAATACCCTGCACCAGACCTATTAAAAGCAAGTGAAAGAGAATATTCCAGCTTTTTAGACTGCACACAAATTGCCAATTTGGGCACACACACTGCCCACTGGGCACTCAAAAATTACTTGATGGTTATGGTTAGTGTTAGAAACTATCAAAAAAAACCCCAGAAAATAACAGGTGTTGCCGAGGATGTGGAGAAATTGGAACCTTTTTGCATCATTAGTGAGAATGTAAAAATGGTGCAGCCGCTCTGGAAAACAGTATGGCAGTTCCTCAAAAAATTAAACATAGAATTACCATATGATTCAGCATTCTCACTTCTGAGTATTTATCCAAAAGAATTGAAATTAGGATCTCGAAGAGATATTTGCACACCTATGTTCATAGCAGCATAATTCACAACAGCCAGGAGATGGAAGCAACCCAAATGCCCATCAACAAATGAATGTACAAACAAAATGTGGTCTATACATGTAATGGAATATATTCAGCCTTAAAAAGGAAGGAAATTCTGACTCATGCTACTACACGGATGAATCTGAGGACATTAGGCTGAGTGAAATAAGCCAATCACAAAAAGACATATACTATACGACTCCACTTATAAGACAGCTCAAGTAGACAAATTCATAGAAACAGATAGTAGAATGGTGGCTGCCAAGGGGCTGGGGCGGGGCGGGGTGGGGAATGGGGAGTTGTTGTTTCACAGGTGCAGAATTTCAGTTTTGTAAGAAGAAAAAGTTCTGGAGATCTGTTGCACAACAATGTGAATATACTTAACACTACTGAACTGTACACTTAAAAATGGTTAAAATGGCAAATTTTATGTTTTTTTAACCATAATTTAAAACATTTTTAATTATATTAAAAAAAAAAAAAAAACCCTGACAATTAGCAAGAGAGAAGCAAATGGGAGATTAACTGTAAGGAAGAACTTTTTTCTCCTCACTTTTAGAAAAACAGTTCAGAATATCAAAAGATTTTCTCACCACAACATTCCTTTTTTGAGACGTTCACTGCAAAGTCAGCCTATTTAAGGTTCTCTTAGGTACCACAAGGTTCCTTGTAAATCATGAATCAGTGCCTCCACAGCATTATGCTACCCTGAGAAAAGACTCCAAGGAAAAGGTTTTGCTTTATGAACTATCAAAATTACGTTTTAACTTCTTGAAAACTGCTGATTCATGACTCCTCCAAGTCAGCTGTAGGATCGGCTTTATGATTAAAGAGATTTGCTTTTAAATGATGCACACATCAAGTTTATCCTCCAAACATTATTTCTTGAGCATAGTAACTGATTGAGCACAGTAACTTGAGCTGTAACTGATTACAGCTCACATTAACTTCATCTAAAATAAGAAAGGACAAAATAACCACTAGTACTACAGTATGAGTATTTTTGACACTTTCAAGTAAATTCAGATATTCCCCCTCTGCAAACGAACATTTAAAATAAGACTACACCTTCCTATTTCTAGATCTGGATGTAAATAATACAAACTTGACATAAATTGTGGCACATCCAGGATATCTAATAACACCATTAATGCAAAGGGAAAGACAGACATAAAAAGGTACAATAGTATAGTATCTGTACTTGAAATGCCTCTCCCTTCACCCTCCCATGTGTGTTAAGATAAAGAACTAAATAATTTAAAATCAACTGCAGAAGGAAATGCTAATTCTCATATTCCTCTGTGAAAGGTAATCAGTTACACTTTTGCGTAAACAAGTGTTTCTTTAACCAAGTCACTTACTTAAGAGATTCAGGTAAAATGACATTGGCTGCTATCATTTTCCTTACCCCTTCCAATAATGACCACCATCAACTTCTGGTTCCATGTACTGTCAGTCTACTTCACTGCACAGGTAGGAGAGAAGGGACAACTCTATTTATACTCTGTATCTGAAAAAGGTTCTAATGACCATCCTAAAACTTGAAAAGAAAAAGGGTAAGACAAGCAGTTGGCTCAGAAACTTAACAGACTATTATTTAGAGAACCTGTTGATTAACCGGTATTTTACTAAATGTATTTATCAGCAAGAGAAAGATGAAGATGGGAATGAATAATAAATATCTAAATTTGTGCCCTAAGACAAACTTGCATAATAGATAAATCATTTCCTAAGTAAAAACAACAGCTTTTTTTTAAAAAAAAGCATTCAAAGAGTCCAATACAAAATTCTTCTGAAGTGAACTTGTTTATCCAAATGCAGGCTTTGATAAGATCAATTTTAATGTTTGACCTATAATCCTGACAACTCTAGGTCAAATTGCTACACATATCATGACAAGGAGTGTAAACATTTAAAGGTTCATTACTTATTTCATTGCATTCAGGAAACATTTATTAAGTGCCCATGAGCAAGGATCTCGGCTAAGTACAAAATCCAGTCCTATGAATTTAACACAATGAATGCCTACCTTTCTTTTGAAAACAAAAACACGAGCAAACCATAACTGCATGAAAGAATGCAAGGGCACCAGCAAGTTGTGGCAAACCACATACCCCAGCCTTAGAGAAGTA